AAGCGATTTCCACTAACATGCACAGAAAATTGCTATATTTAAATATGAACGTCAATTTTCTAGGAACAAAACATTGTTGTCAGAATGTAATTAAAATGTAAATTAAAATGTCCATCATATTACTGTCTTGAATTGTAAAGTTGTTACTGTTATCTATTATATATCATTATAAATATTGTTAAAGAAGAAGTGGATTTAAAAGTAAAAATGCATTGCGATTGAAAACCAAATATTATTTTATAATATTAAAAAATATATAATATTAAAAATTATTATAATATAATATTAAAAATATTATAAAAATATATTAAAAAATATTATTATATAATATTAAAAACTAACGAAAGAAAACCGGATAAATTTCAGCAATTAGAATAAAAAACAAATCTATCTTAAATCTATTTTAAATTCAAATGAGATAGAATTGTTGATGTATAAGTTCATGAAAAAAAGGAAGAAAAAAGAGTATGATTAAGAGAAAGAGGAAGAGGAGGGTAATAAAGAAAAGAAAAGAAAAGAAAAATGTTAAAAGAAAAGAGAATCTTAAAAGAGAAATGAAAAAGAAGAATTATAAAAGAGAAGAGAAATTGATAAAGCAGAAAAGGAAAAGATATTGATAAAGGAAAGGAAAAAGAGGAATTGATAAAAGCAGGAGAGGAAGATTGTAACATGAATTCGTGCAATGCACGAACAAGTTTAAGAAACGTGTGCTAAATCCAATTTATTTAAATTGAATGTCAAATTGATACGAAAGAGACGAATATAAAATTTTTCTAATAAATGAACAATGAATAATAAGAAAAGAAAAGTAGAAAGAGGAATTGATAAAAGAACTAATTTTTTATTGGAGTTGAAAAAAGTTTTGTAAAGTTTAATAACAAGGTTTAATAAAAAAGATTTATTTCAGTTAAATTTTATATAAATTTTATAAATATATAATTAATATTTTTAAAAGTTATTCTCAAGGATTATATATTCTCAAGGATTCTCAAGGATATATATTAAAAATAAAAATAATTATTTTTAAAATAATATTTACTTGCAAAATATTTTCGAGAATTCTTAATCAATAATTTCAATTCTTTTTAATAGATAAAAGAAAGGATAATAGATAGGTAAAGAAGAGAAGAAGAAAAATAAAAGAGAATATGAACATGAACAAGCTATAATTTACATGTTCGATATTATAAAAACCATTAATTATTTAGCATTTGATTATTTAGATGAATTAAGTTAATATACGTGCCTCGATGAAACATATAATTATCATGTTGTTTCATTAACATAATAAAATAAAGATGTTCGATTTATCACCTGTGCTACTCGTCGAATTGGCAATATTTGCCAATCTTTGGATCGAATATTATCGATATCGATAATTCATTGTTTTGAAATTGTTTAAACCGATTTGTTTCATCTGTTCTAAGCAAATATGCTTAGTGCCATAAATTAAGCAATGTTATCGATCGTGTTTTTCTCTTTTTCATTAACTTTTATTTCATTAACTCTTTATGCAAATCTATGCAAATCTGGTATTCCTGATTCGTTAAATATATCGAAGAATATTTCCAATGCTAGTTTTAATAGCATTCGTAATGGCGATCAGTCTTGAGAACTTTTCCAATGAACAGGAGGTAATGAATCATGTGGAAAGCTATTGTCACATGAGCTGTTTCCGTAGAGAAACGCATGCGTCACGAGTGTAGATTAAAATGTCACATGATGTGTGAGAATTCTGTTTTACATTCTTTATGAATAATATAGTGGTACAAATAACCCTCTTCTTTTCGTGTTGTGTAAAAATTTATTTGCGTAAAGTAAACTATATTACAAAGCGGTACAGTTAAATACTTATTGTTAGATTTTCCAATCTCGACTGTGGAGTATATTTAACTTTGATAAATTACAATTCTAATATTAATTTTTATTTTGTACTGGAATTTATCCTTGGGAATTAAAGTGATATTTATGATATAAAATATCATGACCTAATTACGCTATAAATTTTTTAGAATAAAAATATGATAAAAAATATTTAAAAGTTTGATTACTATGTGTTAATAATATAATCAATTTCTAATGTTATTATTATTATAATAATGATAATTGTTGCGAAATTAATTTTTATAATTCCGATAAATATTTTTTGCAATTCTTCTGATAGCTATAATTATATTTACTCTTTATCGATATATTTCCCATTAAAACGAATATAACTATATACGATCTATTTTTTTATTTATTTATCAATATCTGTAATCGAATAAAAAGTAAATAACAATTTTATAATTATACATATATTACAAACAATTTCAAAGTCTAACTTAAAATAAATATGTATAAAAGGGTTAAATTATATAATATTTTCCGACGAGTATCAGATATTTATTTTGCTTGTCAATTTGATAAACTGGTTTGTCGTCGAGATCTCAACAAAGTTAAATTAGATTGACACGTAATTGTGAATTCACACGTTCATTCTCAGTAGAAATGTTACCAGTTTAAAAATAAAATTAACACTCTTTATTTTCGGCAGGACAGATGGCAGATGATTCTTGTTTTCCACAGGATGATTATTTGTCAGTTAAATGTTGCTACATTTTATAACTTTGTAAAATGTATATTGCTGAAAACAATTAGAGATGATATTATGTATAAAAGAAATATATTAAAATGTATATGTTATAAGATATATCTATTTTTCTTTTTTTTTTTGGATCTTTCTTAAAGTTAAGAAGTCTAAAAGATAACAGTCTCAAGGTAATCGATAATGTTTCTTAATTAGAGTATTTAACTAATAATTTTTTCTAATTATTTTGTTTTTGATAACCTAGTTAAAGATATTTTACTTTTTAATTCTCATAATACTCATAATATCGATGTACCAATTATTTTCTATAAAAATAAAAAACAAATTATTGCATTTGTTGTCTGTCCACTATATGTAGAAGTAGTATTGATCGATAAAATCAACTAGTATTGAGAGCATTACGTAATCACTTAAATACATTATGTTAAATACATACTGTGCATCTGAACAGGAAAATATGTTTGAAATGTATTTAAAGAATTATAACACGACGTTGGTGGCAATGTTACGTAAATGATGATCACCAAGAAAAACGCATTTTAAATCCTTCTTGAATCTCGAGTCACGAAATAAATAAAGATGAAACAATAGAATTTCCCGCGCCATTTTTCGATTCTCGAATGTAAGGTAAGTCAATCGAATCGAATCGAATCGTTTATGCGCATTACGTCGATATTGCCATTGTCTCGACTTTGACCTACACACTTTTAAAGAATTGTTAAAAGTATATCTATCGTTGGCTGCTAGACGCCTTAAACTATTTTTAATAGAAAAAAAAAAATAAAATAAAATAAACCGAAAAATAATCAAATCACAATTTTTGATACGAAGAGAAAAATTTATTGTAACGTCAAAAAATTGAGTTATGAAAATTTCAAATTTTTAAAGTGTTATAATTTCGTCTTCTCAAAAATAGATCTGATGAAAGTCGAGTTAGTTGCATTGGCTTTCCACTCGATGGTTAGTTTGCATGACACTAACGCAATTTTATTGCCTTTGTTTGCGGGTGTAGACCATTCACGTGACATACCTCACTCGCGTCGAGCACGTGACTGGCACGTGGACCGAGCATGTATGCACAACTATCCATATCGTCACCTAGACGCAAACTTGCGCGAGAAATACACTATGTGTCATGCAAAACGTGCAAAACGCTTGATCCACTGGTTAGTATGTGCACATTGATATGTACGGAAAGCTTCTACGCCAGATGCGTGCACCCATCAATTTCATGCATCTTTATGCAAACCAAATGTCACTTGCAGATGTATACTTCTGTTTTTGTAAACATGATATGTAATGCACAGAATTGTATTATCATTTATATTATATCCAATTAAAGACATTCGATTAGCATTTTATGTATTTATATATTGAGCACGATTATAACAAATTTCCTACAAAAATTCATTTATTTATTATATTTTAATCTTCTTTGGTTTATCTTTATTGATTTACGTCAATGGTAGAATAAATTCTATTGGAGAAAGTGTAATAATTTTTTTTTTTTCGTGATTGGTGCATGATTATTATATGTAGATAAAATAGATAAATTTGGATAACATAAATTCAATTTCAATATATAAATATAATAAAATTGTTAATAAAACGATAAAAACATTTGTACTAATTTTATACTAAAATCTTATTCTATAACGAGATGATAAAATTCGTTTCTCGAACTTTCTAAAGCGATAAATGGCACTTTCTATATAAATTTTATATAGAAATCTTTATTCCTGATAATCGAGATTTAGAATTGATGATTACATTATCAATTATGTTATCTTGGCCTTGGTACATTTACCTCTAATTTATTTTTCTCTTTCTCGATTATTTGTATTCTTAAACGAGCTCTATATCTTAAATTCCTTTTCGTATGTTCGATAAATAGCCTGTATTAAATGAAAACAAAATTAAAGTATGATATAAAAAAAAAAATTAATTACATATTAATAAACGAGGAATCAAGGTTGCTCCAATCTTTCTTATCTTGTTCATATAATTAATCGTGATTATCCGGAAATGTTAATTATCTTTAAACATTAAATATATCTTTTAGAGATCTAGCATGTATGATTTAATTAAATCTTGCGTTATCGCTTAAACAGATATTCTAAATCAAACGGAAGTTCATCCTTGAGATTAATTCGGTTCGAAAAGAAAAATTATAATGCAATAAAGATTTCAACGTTTATCATTAACCTACAACTGTTTATTGCATGGATGATATTTCTGTGACTATCAAGACTGCAGCAAGCATACGTAACTACATGTATTACGTACAGAATGCTAATTCCTGAAAGAAACGATTGGCAATATTGAAAAGATGATCATAGAATAAATTATTCTTAGGTGCAGTGATTGTCATGTGATTTCTCTTGGATATCAATTCGAGTCGTAAGAAAAGTTCTAAATAATAAATTAAAATGTTTCACATTTGACTAACGTTTCAAATGTTAGAAATCAATAATTTGGTAGGAAAAAAAAAGATATCAGAAGAGAAAAAAGTTTTTCACAATTGTTTTGAAGGTGTACAGACGAGCAGTTTTAGATAATATTTTGCTTAACCTCAACAAGTTCCACGAATAATTTTGGCAATCTGCCATAAGTAACAAAACGTCGAGCATTCGACCAATTGAATAAGTTTTCCGTCAAGTTTGCTGTAAGAACGCGGCAGGATGTCAAAGTTCTTTAAGAACTCAATTGTTATAGAGAAGCCGTCTATCCAGGACCATAGCATCGCCACTTTGTTTCCGGTAATACAGATATGATAATGTTACCTGTCAAAAAGATGGTTGTATCAGTAACATGTTTTTTCAAGATTGATTCCTGAATGTATTGATTCCATTATAGAATAATTCATTACATAAATTATTGATTTTATACCCTTTCATTATCATTATTGTTTATGTTAATCAAAAATCATGAGGATAAAAATATCATTTCAATGAAATTAAATTTATTACCATAAAATGGAAAAATGATGATAATTTTCCTCATAACCGGTATAAATTTAACAATATAATTTATTTTTCATGATCGTAATATTTTCGTAATATTTTAAATTTATTTTCCATTCGAATAATTTTCCATGAAATTGTATTATTACACAATTATAATTATGAAGAATAGAAAATTAATTATCATAACTAAAATTGAAAAACCTTTATTATTCATTTAATTGTTATTATTTCAGCACATTTTCGATCTTTCTTTAATAACAATTCATTAACTATTCTTAAATAAACTAAACACAACATGAATTTCATTTCGACTACCATCTAACGTAAATTCATGGAACTAACTTTATCGTATATACTTATTGTATATTGTATGATCATCGATAATATAGAGATTGACGTTTTCTATAAGATTAATAAAATACAAATATTTTGTTAAAATGTTTGTTTATTTAAAATCATATCATAAATAAATAGGCAAATAAATAAGATTAAAATAATTTTTAATTTCACTAAACACATAGTTTTAACTATAAACTTGACAAAATATTGTTCATTTGACAAAAAAAAAAGCCACGTGTAAATAAATCACATGTGAAAGATGAAATACACGTGACTGACCGTAAGGCTTCGAGCAATCGGTGCTTTTAATTGCATTACGAAAAAACATTTTAAGGTCAACAGATTACCGGAACAATATCATTCGCTCATCGAAGCCCTGAGGGGAACGATGGATTTCACTCACAAGCGAGTCTATCAGATTCTATCGGCCATTCTTGGACCTCTGGAAAGAGAATCAGAAGACGAAAACGAGGAAGAAGATGAAACGTAACAGTGGATTATTGACACGCATTTATTAGTTAATCAAAATCAATTTTGACCGTGAAAAAAGTATCTATATATACGCTATTTTACGTTTCATCGGATTAGATTGGTAGTGTCCGCGAAAATTATCATGAAATCATCTGCATTCAATAGATCACGATCAGAAAATGATTTTTCCACCGTCAAATTGCACGAACTTGATGATTTATTAAATGGGAAGCGAATGAAATTGTCGAAGACGTCGTTTCAAGTAAGTTCTCATCCAAGATCTTGATCTATCATCGCTCAAGAGTTTTCATTAAACTTTCATTAAACTTTCGTTTTATTTCACGAATCGACATTAATTGACAATAATCATTTTCAAAAGTTTTCAAGTATACATTTATTTTGGATTGAAATATATTCGAACACTTTTACATATTAATTTAATTTTTATGTCTTAGCTAAACGACGTTGAAGATTGTTTGAAAAGTAATGAATCGGAAGAAGAGAAGACCAATTATTTTCCGAATTGTGATTCGTCCGTATGGATGAGATCTTGCAAAAATGAAGTGATAGAACCGATTTCTGGTAAGATAACAGGAAAAATACCACATTGGTTGAAAGGAACTTTGCTAAGAAATGGACCAGGTAGTTTACAAGTCGGAGAATACACTTTCAACCATCTGTTCGATAGTTCAGCTTTATTGCATCGGTATGTTTTTATAATAGAATACAATTAAAACTTATAGAGTATTTAAAAAATTTAATCTTTGAAAATTAAAATTAACTGTTCGCAATAATTTTTTAACGATACTTAACTATATAACGTATAACTTTCGTGTGTAACCCAGACCTTGAATCAAATTCCTCGCAATACTAATGAAACAATAATAGCTCAAGTAGTTTCCAGAAACCTTATATATTACATTTACATAGACCATGAACGCAAATAAATGAAACCTCGAATAAAATTGACTAATTTAATTTTAACTTTTTTATATTTTTATATTTTTTCAAAACGATAGATTTGCAATTGCTAACGGAGAAGTAACCTATCAATGCAGATTCGTTCAGACGGACGTATATAAAAAGAACAATGCTGCTCAAAGGATAGTAGTTACTGAATTTGGCACCAAAGCAGTACCAGATCCTTGCAGAAATATTTTTCAAAAGTATCGAATGATATGAGACATTAATACATTAATAAATAAAAATCAATGGAATATCAATGAAATTTTCTTTCAGAGTCGCAGCTGTATTCAAACCCGAGAATGACTCTGATAATTCTATGATATCCATATATCCCTTTTGCGATGAGTATTATACGTTTGCGGAATCGGCAGTGATTCATCGTATCGATCCGAAAACATTGGAAACTACAGGCAAGGTATTGACTTTTATTATTAATGTTGCTTTATATTCGTTACTTTACTAATTATATCGATAATTGTTTTATGTTTGTAATTGTTTCGAATAAACAAATTCATTAATTTTCTAATCTCACGTAAATATAATAATCTCGTAAAATAAATTGTATAAAATAATTTTTTAATTATGCACATATAGGTGAATGTGTCTGATTACGTTGGAATTGTAAATCACACGTCTCATCCTCACGTAATGAACGATGGTACCGTTTATAATTTAGGATTGAGCGTGACATCACGAGGACCGCAATACAATATCATATGCTTTTCACCCAATCAAATTATCATTGGTTAGCATTTGAATTTGCAATTTAATTATTCATCGAAATGTTTCGAGTATTTTATATTAAATATCTTTTTCAGATGACTCAGGTGAAGAAAAAGAATTATCCATGTTTGATCAAGCTACCATTATTGCCAGTGTTCCGTCACGATGGTTGTTGAATCCTTCTTACATGCATACCTTTGGCATCACTGAAAATTATTTCATCATCGTAGAACAACCATTGTCGGTATCTCTGACCACTATAGTATCTTGCAAAATGAAACAACAACCGATGTGTGCAGCTTTAAAGTGGTATGAGAATGAAAATGTAAGTCTGTCCAGGATTTTTTCTTTTTTCTTTTTCATTTCCAACAAATGTGTTAACAAATTATATTTTCCTTTTACCACAGACTCTCATACATTTGATTTCGAGAGAGACAGGATTATTAGAGAGGACGTTTATTTCAGAGGCATTTTTTTACCTTCATATCATAAATCAATTTGAAACACGTGATCGTGATTACGTGGTACTGGATATTTGCTGCTATCGCGATGCAAAAATGTTAGACTGTTTATTCGTAGATGCGATGAAGGTAATACATTATTATTTAATTAAATTATTATTAAAATTAAAATATGATTGAAAGTTGAATCGGTACAATCGGTATTTTTCAATTATTTCAGAATTTGCATAAGAATCCTGATTATGCTAAAATGTTTCGTGGCAGACCTTTGCGATTCATTTTACCAATGAAACGTCCACAGCCGGACGTACCATTGGAATATAATTTGATTACCGCAAAAACAGTGAACCAAGGTCTGGAGTCATTCCAAAATGACTCTGTCACAAGTCAGAATAAATCTGGGTCAGAGTTGGTTAAAACATCGATAAATGATACTAACAAAGACAAAAGGAACGATTACCAGAATATTCTGAGGCGAAGAGCAACTGCTCATAAACTTGCGAATGGTGATATTTTTGTGAAACCGGAACTTCTTTGCGATTTGGGCTGTGAAACGCCACGTCTCAACTACGACTCCTATCTTGGAAGGGAGTATCGATATTTTTATGCCATTTCTAGTGACGTGGACTTAGAAAATCCTGGAACGGTAATTACGCTCTAATTTTAATCTTCGTATAAGTTTTAACAAATTGCGATTGAAATGCAAAATACATATATACTATTTTATTATAGATTATCAAGGTGGATATCTTGGAGAAAACGAGAAAAACTTGGTGCGAGAAAAATGTTTATCCGAGTGAACCGGTTTTCGTACCGGATCCTAATGGCAAGGTAAGGGATCTCGTGACTTGAATCTTTGAAATCTCGTTTCTATTGAGCTTGAAAGCACAAATAAGCGTAAAAGAAAGGAGAGGAAAATACCAAACGTATTAATTTCGTTTATATGCCTATCCGGTTTAACGAATTTATTTTCAGAACGAAGACGACGGCGTGGTTCTTTGCTCTATTGTTTGGTCTGATAAAGAGACACGCGTTGGATTGCTGATTCTAGACAGCGTGACTCTTAGGGAAATCGCTAGAGCCATCTTTGAGACTTCTGGCCCGGTGCCAAAGTGCTTACATGGCTGGTTTACCTTGGACAAGTAAAATAAACTGGGACTTCTAAGAGACGGATATCGGATCTTTGGTTCATCGATGGAAATGAAATATTGATCTGGATGTTATGCGATATGTATTATATCAAATTGTCGATATATTTTTATCATATAATATCTATATTTTTCAGCTCCATTTTGTTGGCTTGATTATTGTCTCGTTAGTAGCTTCGGAATTAAAAACATTGCTCTACGAACGATTCTTTTAGCAATGAAATTGCGATATTAAGAAAAATATATGTTATATGTTTATATAATATATATATATATATATATATATGTATATATTAACTGCACAATATGTATACAATATAATAAATTATTTAATGTTTTCTCCCGATTGTACAGTGTAACTCATATTTGGCGATTAATGTGTCATAAAGCTTCGATGACATGTAACGCAATAAATTTACAATAAAATGGGATGCAGTCGTGAGAATATTTGTCAGATGGAATGTAAAATGCCCTACGAACTTTGTCCTTAAATTAATATTCGCGGATTTTTCGTATTGATTGGAGCGGATACATAAGTTTCTGGTCCTAGATACTTATCATAACGATCAATTAAGATATCATTTTAAATTATGCTACGTTGTCATTAAAATATTCTATTATTATAAACGCCATGTCGCCTCGTCGGATGTTTGATCAGCTAAAACAAAGTTCCGGTAAAGCAATCTAAATTAGACGGATCTTTGCGAAGCTTCGATTCAAACGACAGAATAACAAGACAGATTAGTGTTAATCTCTCTTCCATAAAATAAAAGCTGTAAACAATATGCCGTTCTAAAATTCAATCAAATTTCACAAAGATCCAACTGAGAATATTCTTGCGAATGGATTCAACATGACCTAATAAGTTTTTACGTACTTACAGAATTAACAATAATCATTATAATTAAAATAAATAGGGTTGGCACAACCATAGTCATAAAATTAAATTACACTAAATTAAAAGAGCATTCAACGCGAGCCCCGAATCCGCGAATCTTTTCTTAAATAATAAACTCGAGATAAATCACCCTTGTCGCGGCAGGATACGTCGCGTTCCTTACGACATTACAATACATTAACGATCACGTTTGTAACGACTCGCGTTGCTCGCCATTAAACACAGTCACACGATTCACAGCATATATATTTTTAAAAGACGAAGCCACTCATCGGGTATCCACCGAAGCACCACGTTTAAATACAGAGTTCTCGAGAAGCTTCGACATTTTAGCACAACGTGATAAGCGTCCACGCGCCATTGGAAAAGAGAATGTTCCTCTGAGGATTGATATCACCGAGTCAAAGAGTCGCCATTGACAAATCACAACCATTCATTTACAGATACGCACGTGGTAACTTTCATTCTCTTTTTTTCCCTATTATTATACTATACTATCTTATTCTATGTGACTATAAAATACGAAGAGGAAATCGCGCACGTGAAAAAAAAAAAAATCTAGCTAATAGGAGCGGAAAAAAAAAAAAAAAAAAGAACAAGAAAACTCGACAGACCCTGATACGATATTTCGTGGTAACGAGAGCTCCCTTCTGCGCGCAAAGGAAAATCACAAGCAACATGCCAAATTTGTTTACCAATTTCCAAGTTTTTTAACACACGTTAAAAAAAAAATGCGCGTCACATGATAAGAAGAAACGATTCGTTCTGCAAGATAATCTTGTCCTGAGATTAAGTACGAGAGATATTTGAAAGCGATCGTAATTATAAGCGGTTAAAAAAAAAAAAGAGTGTATGACTTGTTGCTCGAGCTTCGCAGGGAGTGTTCTATGTTTTCTCTCTCTTATTATCTATTATAAGAGGAAAGGAATATTTAATCAATAAAAAAGAAAAGAAAAACACGTCTCTCGTTCGGGTCATATTGCCAATTCTGACAATATAACTATCACATTTTTGCTTCTACGTATCTCCCTTCCTTGCCCATCTCTCATTTCCCTCCTTTCTCTTCTCTCTCTCTCTCTCTCTCTCTCTCTCTCTCTCTCTCTCTCTCTCTCTCTCACTTTCACTCAGACTTTTTCGACTTTCTCGCAATCAACGGAAGCAATAGAGTTCATCGTGCTGACATTCTTGCTTTCCGTGTCCGTTTCGCTCTTGGCTATGCTCGACGTGGATACGCCTATGTGGGATTCACAATGCATGGGCAAGATTCCAGCGTTGGCGTCCTCTATCGCTTTCCTCAGCTGACGAACAAACGAAAAAAAAAAGAAAAAAAAGAAATAAATTTGCAGACAGTACAGTACAGAAGAGGTGTCTCTTCGAGAATAAGAACAAACCTCTTTCAATCCTACAACCCCGACCAGCCTCCCGATAGCCGTCACGTAAGCGTGATTCACCCCCACCATGCTGAACAGACTGTGAACCTTCAACAAAGATGTTCGCTCGACCAATTGGAAGGGTGCTGGATCGATGTGACACCTCGAGAAATCCACCTCCAACGACATTTCGCTTTCCTCCCATCGTTTCTGATCCTCTGCCGACATGTCTATCACCCTCTCGCGAGGCTGATCAACAAATTATATTTATATTTCTACTCTGCGTTACGAATTAGAAAGGAATATATAAATTATAAATTATAAATTAAGTTATAAATTAAATTAACCGCGCACCAGTTGTACTTTCTTCGAGGTGGCAGGACTTGGAGCCAGCATCGGAGTGTGCGGCGGCACCTCTTGACTGTCACGCCTGACACCAGCACCGGCTCCTATCTCTGGATCTGGATCCACGTCTTGCAAAGTGGCTGACTTGCGGAAGATCGCCTCGAAGGCAAGACGGATCCTGAGATTGAAAACGACGAGATATATATATATATATATATCTTTTCTCTGTATCAAATTTGAAGAATTGTTTAGAATGTAAAATTTCTTTTTACCTGCTCTCCGCACCGGTCACAGTGGTGTAAGGAGTAGCAGCAGGGCTCACCAACGGGCTGAATCCTTTCAACGTGAAGGAATTGGTCTTCTTCAAGATCGATTTCTTCGGTTGCGAGCCAAATATCGGGGAATGGTAGGTGTGCTGGAAGAGAGAGAAAGAGAGGGAGAGAGTCGTGTAAACGACGAAGCGAGAGGAAACAAGATGTCGTACCACCATCGCGCTTACTTAATTGGATAAATGTTCATAATTGTGCTCATTTACGTGACTCACGTGATCAGAAGCGGCACCGTTGTTTGGAGACATCGTTAAATCGTTAGCACTTTGCCTCTGCATCTTGAGAATATCCGGAGCAGGGATCACTTCGAACCTGGACGGTCGCCTCGTCCTCTCCTGATCCCTCAATTGTCGTTCCATTTCCTCCCGCGCCCTCTCTTCGGCCTCCTTGTGCCACTTTTGTGCCACCTGAAAGAAAATTCGATAATCGATAACATCGATAAGGGAGGAAATTTGCAACGATCGAGTAGAGTAGGAGAGAGCACCTGCAACCTCCTTTCGCGGCCTATGTGCTTCTCGATCAGCTTGATTAACTCCAATCTCTGGATAGATCCAAGCAGGATCATCGAGTCGGGATTGTCGACCAGGGGAAAACCGCGAAGCTTGCGGTTTTCCTTTAAAATTTCTTTCAACCTCTGATACGAGATTCCATGCCAGATATACTTTACGTCACGAACCATAAAATCTTCCACGTACACGTTGTACATTCCTGCAACATACGCACGATTCTCGCGTAACAATTTTTATTTCCCAAATCGATCGACGTGTATTCCGAAGCGTGTTCGTCATTGTACCTACCTTATTGAAACTTCCTTTGGGAGAAACTCGTTAAAAGTAACGAAAGAAAAGTTTAGAAATCGAGATCGAAATTATCAAGATATACGGATTTACCTGAACTGGATGGCAATAAGTCTGGAAGATAGGGCAGCTTCTTGATCAAAATGATACTGTCGTATATGCTGGGCTGAAGAAGGGCGGCAATGGCGTTGCTGATCAACACGGCGATCATGATTGGGACGATGTGAGTGATCTGACCGGTCATCTCGAACACGATAACGCTCACGGATATCGTATGGGTCACAGCACCGGAAAATGCAGCTGCCCCAACGGTAGCGTAGCCTCCTGAAAAAACGATTTTCTTCGATCGAGTTCTGGAGAGAAAGAAAGAGAGAGAGAAAGGGTGGGAGAATAATAATTTCGAATCGATTGGAGAGATCACCTGGTACGATAGGCGTTATGATACCGCCGTAACGAACGCCGTTGGGAAACCACAGAGCCATGGCTTCGCCCATTGCTCTGCCAAGAGCGGCGCCAATCTTGAACACGGGGATGAAAATTCCCGATGGCACGGGAACCGTGGAGCTTATGATCGAGAAGATGAACTGGAAGCAAAATTTTCACTCTTCCCTTCTTTCGAAAATATTTTTTCCTATTTATATTTACCGTGAACGCAACGAAACCGATCAAACCGATGAACACGTCGGTATACACGGTGGACCAATGCTTCACTATGTTCATTTCTTCAACCCCCAACTCTTGCTTGGTCCAAGTGAAATTGGTGAACAAACCGTACACTTGATCGTGAGTATTCAAATCACCGGCCATGAACTGGCCTAGTCCCAGGGGGAATGAAACGGACGAGACGAGCAAGGAGACGATTCCAGGGTACAAGAAGCGACTGGAATAATAATAACAATAAAATTTTTCAATTTTTACGATCCTCCCGCGAACAATCGTGCTCCTCTAACACTCACTTTTTCTGCAGAAAGCTGTTCATACTTTTGTTCTTCCTCATGAAGATCACGTATTGCCTGTGCAGCCAGACGTAGAAAGCGCCCCCTATACCGCTTCCGACCCCGATCAACGCGAACACGAACAACTCTTGGGGGTCGAAGGGGAAGTCCATGGTGAAATTGGTCGCGAACATCGCCGTGATCGTTTCCTCTCGTTGGAACCAGATAGCGAGCAGACGGAACATGGTTGCTCCGCAAACAGCCGCGAAGAACCCCCTCCAATAATTTCTCACCGCGAAATACACCGTGGTTACCTCGATGCTGAACAGGACGCCGCCGATAGGGGCCGCGAAACAGGCTGCCACCCCTACGGCGCACGCCGCGGCGAGCATCTCGCAGTTCCTGCTCTCGTTCTCGTAGATCCCTTGGAAACTCGTCACCAATTTGGACAAAAGGGTGGCCACTATGCTCGCGATGTGCACGAATGGACCTTCCTTGCCCAGCGGCAGACCGGAGCCCAGGGTCGCGGTCAGACCTATCACCTGTTAGACATTACGCTGGCTCTACACCGATGCTCGAAAACACGCAGAGCGGAGGATTTCGAATATCGGAAATTGGATTTCGAAAATCGCTTTTTTCTTCTCGAGAGCGCAAGCTCGCGGATCGAGTTTTTTCTTTTTTTTTCTTTTTTTTTTTTTTTTTTTTTTTTTAATTTATTAACCGCGGTTATAATAACGATCGAGAATCGGAAGGGGAGGAGAAAATTGATACCGGTCTGAAGAAGAAGAAGAAATCAAGTCTGGTTTCTAACCTTCGCTACGAGCGTACGAAAGGTGAGATACTCCTTCAAGGCCACCCCACGTAGGATCGTTTTCATCTCCGGAATGCCGGATCCTATGCTCTGCGGTGCAACGATGTGCACGAAGCCGGCGCTGAAGAGGATCAGGCAAACCGGCAAGGACACCCAGGCGAGATATTGAAGCGCCGGATGGTGCGTCAGATCCTGATAAAGCCATATCCTGGCTGGTGGAACAAGCGATACGGTTAACTCAAGGATCTCGTCTTGTCCCCCGCGCGAAATGGATTACGAGCGTTTGGATTAATGGCGTGGAAAATTGCGAAACCTTGGAACGAAGATTGAATTTTGAGAAGGAGGGAGGGGGGAGAAGAAGAAAAGATCAACTTCGAAACGCGAAAAATTATCGTACAACTATGGAGAGAAGAAAAAAAAAAAAAAAAAAAAAAAAAAAGAAAGAAAGAAAAGAATTAATGGGAAAAATTAATTGGAAATAAATATTCTTTCTTTATTCTATATATATTAGGAAATTAGAAATTATGGATTACTTGTTATCAAACTGACCGTTGTTACACATAGAAATGCCACGGTCCATGGCATAACTGATGAGCGCCATAATTATTCCAAGGAGGGCCAAGAACACCCAATCCTCCCCTAACCTAGCTCCCGTGTGCTTCCACGCGAAAGCCAATAACGCGATCAACTTCCTGCAAAGGGGTCCTCTTCTCGACTTCCGCAGATCCTCCTCCCTGCTTTCGTATTTCCGCCGTGTTTTCTCGTACTTGAGCTTCCGTGCCTCTTCTTTTGCGTATTCACCCAGATCCTTCGTGTAGCGACCATACATCTAAACGCAGCACCATTTTTCATCGACTATTCTTCCCCGCCTTTCTCATTTTTTTTTTTTTTTTAAACATTCGGAGAAAACACGATATATATATATATATATTCTTTCTTTTCGATTCGATATGAAACAAAATTTATCAAGTGAAATACGTATGGAATATTGCATGAATAACAATTTTAGATTATCGTCAATTATTCGATCGAACGAATTACGCGCCAGAATTAATTTTCTGGATATTTCGAAATCGTTGAAGAAGTTCGTGGCTCTCGTCTATTCGAGGAAATTTCTTCCTTGGAAATTGATTTCACGATCGATCCGAATTGTTTAAACGAATTCGATCAACGAAATGATCCGATTGCCCTTGATCGATCGTTTCTCTCCGAAATCACTGTTTTTCATCTAACCAATCGATCTCGCATTCCATTTTCTAACGAGTTCAGACAAAGCCGAGAATCGATCTCGTTCGTGATTTATCTGACCACGTTAGAACCACCGCTCTTTACGTGCATTATCATGCAGTCGCAGCAAAAATCTCTCACTCTGCTCACTCGTGGATTAATAAAATTGCAAATTTCGTGCGCAAGCTGATTTTTCGTTTAGAAATAAAAAAAAAAAAAGAAAAAAAGGACGATCGCTCGAGTGTCACAGAAAAAATATGAAAAACGACTTTCAAAAGGTATTATCAATATGCACGAAAAGAAAAATAAATATTCATCGTTGATAATTGTTGCACGTGAACAACGCGATTACTAACAATAATAATAAATATCAGAGATAACGGAATTATGCGAAATTTTAATTAGAACAGAAATAAACGCAAACGTGAACGATATTAACGTGTTACGCCGTTGAAAGCAAAAAAAAAAAAGAAAAGAAAAGAATAAAAAAATCGATTAATCGATCAATCGTAAGTTACAACTTACTACGTGACGCGAGACTAAGGGCATATTATTATACTCGGACTCCAACTCTCGAAACGAAGATAATCCGAAGAAAGCAGCGCGGATTACAGTGACAAGTGAATCGCGAATCTCGTCTCAAACTAGGCAACAATGAGCAAACAATTTGAGAGCATCGCGAGCACGAGATTACGGGGGTTCGATGACTTTGATTAGCGATTCGAGAGTACACAAGAGCGTATCGATTGTTATATCGATACGTTTGGAAAACAAGCGGGGAAATATGGAAAGAGAGAGAAAAGAAAAAAAAAAAAGAAAATAGAAAGAAAACGTTGGATCGAATCTCTTCGGACGGAAAAATCTCTCGTTATTCTCACTTACGAGATACTCATCGTTACAGACGAAATAGGCTCTGTTCAGAACGAAAGCCGGCATGAAAATTGGATGAAAGATCGTTTCGAAGTTGTCCTGAAAAGCCGAAATTCTTCCCGCGGGATCGGCCGATTAAGTCACGGACGAGGCATTCTTCGAGTACGGGAAAGATTTACGGGTCACCGTCGGCCTATCGCACATTTTCCCTCCCCCTCCCCCCTCCCGCACTCGATCGAAACGAGTTCGACCGTCCAGTCTCCCTTGTCGTCTCCTCCTCAACTCGAATAATCACCGATTTTAATTCATCGAATTGCGAAAAAATTGTCGCAATTGTGTCGCCAACTATCGCCGTAATCAGCTCACAGTTTTGCCTCTTGGCAAACAATGAATATCGGATATTTCTGTCGACGAGGGTTTACCGCAAACTGTCCATTACGTTTTTTTTTATTGTTTTTCCGCTTTAACGATTGTCAGGGTCTATTTGTTACATCACGAGACGTTTAATCGAAATAACGCGGACCAAGGTTTCCTCACAGAGATTTAATTCTGTCGTTTGCAGAATTTAGTAAAATTTCACAGTATGGCCGTTAATTATATATTGCAACCTTCGCGCGAGTCATCCGCCATCCGTTACTATTGTTTTCCTTCCACTTTGGCGAGTGCCAGGATCCATTTGTTAAACCGAGAGTCAACAGATGAGTCAAAACGACTCGCAGACGGATTACCAAAAAAAGACCTCCGCGTCTACGATTTCTGCTTCACTCCCTCCCCTTTCAATTCGTACGTCTTACGAAGAAACGTATCCCGAACGTTCCCTTCGTATCATCCGTTCGCTCCCCGAATATTCCTCGTTCACCATCTCCCCACCTATCCCTGATCCCGATACGAACTCAACTTTTCTACAAAAACTTTATATACCCGTCCTACGATGATACACCTTCTTTCTTAAAAAACTTAACTCGTTAAGTTCCCCGATTGAGAAGGTGCACGCGAATTTGCAGACGAACGACAACTGAACGACGCCGTTTTCCCTTCCCTTCCTTTCAATCTCGAGCCGCGATATTTGTTGAAATTTGGCAACGGTCAAAATCCTTATTTTTAGCGGTGCCCACCATCGGTCAACGACGATCCACTCCATTGTCTGTCATCATCGATTAAAAAACGAAACGACCCCCGTTCGCCCGATTTTCCCTGAAAACCTAGCATTGAGAAATTATACACCGAACGAATTATTATCGATCGAAAACGCGGATCTCGTTCCCCCCTTCCCCCTCCCCTCTCCTCCCTCGAGCGAAGAGCGCGCATTTCGCAATCGTCGAATACCACACTCGAACTCGTCTCTATCCGTCGTGTTTATCGAACGCGGAGAGCTTTGGAAACCTCTTTGGACCGCGAAAACCGGACAGAAATAACCGGCAAATTCGCTATTCGGTTTACTACGAATTCTACGATTACGTGTAGTGGTCGTTACTACTTGGACGCACGCGTTATTGCACATAGTCGATCCGCCGGATAACGTACGCGCGAGCCAACGCTCGAGCAGCTTTTTCGAGTGAGAGCAAGGGTGTGCGAGTTGAGCAAGGGAAGGAAGGGTGTGTAACGAGAATTCAGACCGATTCTTCTAGATGCTATTGGAATATATTGGAGGAGTCTCGGGTTTTTTCTTTTTTTTCTTTTTTTCTTTTATTTTCCACAGAAGATAGACAGAGGTGTACGCGAAATAGGGGGAGAATTGAAATATAGTAGAGGAGATCCGAAGCTGGATTCGACGACGACGACGACGACGACGACCACGCTCCACTGGGCAGTCGGCCGCTAACCCAATTTTATTAATTGGTCGTAATCAATTTACGATTAACGGCCTAATTTCTTCGGATATAAACAGCAGGTGGGAACGATGGAAAGGTAGGGAAGTTGAAGAGACGTATTTTTCGTTGTTATCACCGCTTTCTTACCGATCGGATTTCACTTCATCTTTTTCTCTTTTTTTTTTTTTTTAGGGTCATGGCACCTGTTCGCGTTTGTTGCTAAATTATCTTTGAACCGCCTTGGAGCGTGTCGCCGTGTAATTTTAGAATCTAATTTTGAGACGCGCAATTACAATTTACTCTAATTCTTATTTTTAGATCTCTATCGGCGTTCCACGATCGTTACACACGCGTTCGTTCCTCGCGTTTCGCGATGAATCGCGCGAATTTTTTCCCTTTGTCGGGGAATTAATATAATTAATATAACAGAACTAAACTCGACAATTCTTCGAAAGTAACCGCTCCGAGACGAAGTAGATAAACGCCCCCGCTTGCATTTCCTATGTGACACATTTCCAAAGCACGCGCTCGATATTCCTCCTGTCTAACGAACACGACATTATTACAAACGCGTCGATTATGATTTTTAAATTTTACTTCTAAAACCGACTCGACTTTAAAATTAACTTAATTAATTCTATCCTATCTGCTTCGTAGAATTAAAATTCAAATTCAAATCCGTAATAAAAAATATTCAACTAAACAAAACTCGTAGAAATATCTATCTAATCTATCGACATTTTCTTCGAGGGAAGAAAACGAAATTTTGATAAATTCAAAAAATTATTCGCGGGAGAAAAGATTTCGGCAGAAGAGATGGCGGAAAAATGGAGTGCGGCATAGCGATGCAGACGCTGCACCCGGAAACGGTGCATCTGCATATCGGAGGCGCGATATACGTGTATGCGTGCACACGTATCGGGATGCTGGTGTCTGTACGCGTGTCGAATCGAAGCTGCATGTCACGTGAGGGGGATCAGCATGCTGGTCACGCGTGTCGTATAAACGTAACGAGTCCTTAAGCGTTCATTCATGCAGATAAAGGCATTGTTTAGAAAGGCGTCGCTGCAATGGTCGGCGTACCCTTTTCCGTTTGTTGGATACCGTTGGGAATTGAAACGCGTTTACGCGAGATCATCAGAATTTCCCGCGGATTGGGATTCGAAAAAAAAAGAAAAAAAAAAAAAAGAAACATGGAAACAAAATCGACGAGGAATAATTTTGGAATAAGTTAAATATCCATCTAACGTCGGATTAGATCCAAATATTTGTAGAAGAATTTTCTATCATGAAAATTGTACGTGCACGTCTTTCTTCCGTTCGTATTATAAACGTAACGATGCAACGTGTAGATGTATATATCTGTCGACGAGCATCGAAAACATTTCTTTTTTCTTTTATCATTATTATTATTATTACTTTCGTTATCAAAAAATATCCCTAAAAGAAAAAGAAAAAAAAGAAAAAAAGAAATAGACAAAAGATGCATCGTCCGTCTTGAAAGTCGCAAGTTCGCGGCTCGATTGCGCTCGATCGTTCCGATCCCTCGATGCGGAATTTCGTGTCAAGGTCAGTCCACGTGTGCCGCGTGAGTCTGACATTTCATTGACATTTGTGCGAAACCCGTTTCGTTTCGTTTCGTTTCGTTTCGTTTCGTTTCGTTTCGCGATACGCGCGGCAAATTTGTCGGATATTTCGGATCACGTGACTTTTCCGGACATCGCGGCAGATATAGCGCCAGAGCTTCCAGTTGCAAGAAGCTCTCGGTCTCGTTCGATATCGGAGGAGAGGATGCCGACACGGATCGTGACCCGTCGTATTGCGAACGTTCGTTTCAAATACGTTACCTCTCCTGCCCGCTTGGCAACCGTTCAAAGGTCGCCTCGCGTTACCGTCCTCGCGTAAGAATTCGTGGAAAAGGGGGAGAGAGAGAGAAAAAAAAAAAAAAAAAGAAAAGGAAAAATTCGAGGTAGATCGAGGTAGCGGTAGCTTTTGATCGAGCTCTTTGATCTTAATCTTGACATCGATCGTGAATTTGAATTGACCGTTAAAGTTTCGAGCAAACGCGAACATAAGAAGGGGGAGAGGGGGATCGTAAGGAGAATTATAGATCGTAGAAACGATAAAATGGCGAATGTATCGGCAGTTGATCCGATGTATTGGCAGGCGACTAAATCGTCTGGGTCTCGTCTGGGTAGCGGCGCGATTTAATTATAAATCTGTCCTGGTTCAACGGCATTTGTTCCAACTGTATCGTTGGATCATATCCGGATAGATTTCGGGTAGAATTTCGGGCGAATTTCCATGGAAGCGACGGTCGAGGGAAGGAATTCGAATGCGAAGCTCCTCTCTCTCTCTCTCTCTCTCTCTCTCTTTCTCTTCTCCTCCTGCACGCATGCACGAGAAGAGAATCTGCGTCTCACACAAGATGCGATGATAATCGCATGCGATTCAAACGAAACGGAAACTTTGCTTACGATAGTGTTAATGTAATCGAAGGGATCGAAATCCTGTTGCTCCTCGTCCGCGTTCGGCGGAGGGCACGGGTAAAAAGCTTGCGAAGGCCTGAACGGGGGCCAGGGAGGAGAAAAAAAAAACAAAAAAAGAAAGAAAGAAAATATCCCAATTAGAGAGGAAAGAGAAATATTTTTCGCGTTGAAAAATTTGAAAACAGTTTTGCCAAAACTTTCTCGCGAAAGGAATGTACCTGTGCGGCCTGTTTCGACGATTCGCCATCAGCCTGCTGAATTCCTCCCATTCCCTGTCCACTTCCTCCTCGCCACCGTCCGGATGGTAGTGAAGGGCCTCCTCCAGGAGTTCCTTCTTGGTCGCTTGACTCGCCATTGTTCGACTTGGTTGCTTGGGAACTTGGCGATTAATTCCGACCGAGAGAGAACTTGCTATCGTCGCGGCTCGATAATGCTATCAGTCGCTATAAATTCCTGTCGCTCAAAATGCGGCTTCGAGCATGGGATTCCTCGTTGTTGAAGGATTACGTAATAACCGCGGAATGGAAATTGCGAAGATCATCCTCGAAATCGCGGCGACGTTTCCCCCTTCGATTTTTCTCTTCTTAAAAACGGCACGATTCCGGCCCGTCGATCGATAACGGAGAGCGTTCGCGCCAAGGAATCATCGTATCCCTCTCCTCTCCTGTAGGACAGATATTCGTCGGAAGGAAAGATATTCGCGAAAAGAAGAACGGTGGCTCGTGCGTGGACAGCCACCGTCGTCCATAGAGGATCTTCGATCGATATTTCGTTGGAATGGAGAGATAAGTTGAGTTTCTCCTCTCTCTCTCTCTCTCTCTCCCTGTTTTTGGAGAAATGCTTTCTCCAAAGAGTACGTCGAGCGTATTGACACTGACACTGACACTGCGCGGGGAGGATGGAAAAATTGGGGAAAAAAGCCGCGTTGAAAGCAATTGAATCCGTAGGCCGGACCGTCGCACACGAAGCAAATGAGTCACACTGACAATGAGAAGAGAGAAGCACCGTGCGGACCTGAGATGGGAGGGCCTGAGCTGGTGGTCCAATTTACAGACTCATTAGCCTCGCTCCGACTGTTGTCGACGTCGTCGCTCGCGATTGTCCCCCGCGATATATCGCCGCTGTCTATTGCCGCGGACACCTCTGCGAGTGTTGCTACGGGGACACTCGCGATCGCCATTTTTATGTACTCGCTTTCGAAAATCGTTCCAATCATCGTGTTCACAGATCAAAGAGAGAGAGAGAGAGAAAGATTCTTATTCGAAATTCGCGTATTTCGAAAGCGAGCTTTCTTCATTCCTTCCCTCCCCTCCCTTTTTTTTTATCTCCACGATCCATCGAGCTCTAAAAAAACGAAATTGAACGGAGATGTGACAACAATTCGATCGTACATGTTCGACCAATCATGGAGGAGGGATAATCGAATTTTTCTTTTTTTTTTTTTTTTCACGTCTCGAGGAAAGGGAAAATGGAAATTTCGTGGCGCGGAGAGAGAGAGAGAGAGAGAAAGAGAGAGAGAGAACGAAAAATCGAGGAGGGATTAGAGACGATTAGTTTTTTTTTTTTCATCGTCGGGACGAGGAAAAAGTCGAAAGTCTTAGTCTCGGTGGTATTTCTAGTAGCGACTGTACGGTAGCCGTATACGGCAATTGGCCACTTCCCTCGACGAGGGCTCGTAGGAAGCTGCCTTCAAAGTCACCAGTTATCATTGATCAAAATTACCACGTAATTTGATGAATGGCTGTCTTATCCGATGCCGGCACCAACGAACTCCGATCGATGACTCTCTCTCTCTCTCTCTTTCTCTTCTCTTGTGCTTTGCACACACACACATATACACACATACACACCTTCTCTCCTTCTGAGATCCGATACTTTCGTCGCACGCAAATTGAATTTTTCGATTACGAGAAATAAATAAATAAATTTATAATTAATATATATATAATCGGAGAAAAAATACAGCGAAATTACTTTTTCTTTCTTTTTTCTCTTTCTTTAAAATTAATTCGCATCGGGCTGTTGTTTCAATAGTTTTTGAAGGAAATTAACACGTACCTTTCACTGCGAAAAAGTCGAGCTTAAGGATTTTTCAACGGATACGGATGATGAACGATTAACGGAGCACGGTAGAAAATTGTTCGTATTTATCGCCCTGGCTACGTTGCTCGGTTATGAACACATCGAGCCGTAAATTCGTGTGTTTATCCTCGAAAAGCAAAGAGATAGCAGATAATGGACCGGAAAAGGATTGCCGACTCGGTAAATTTGTCTAGACGAAGGAGCGTGTCAACATCGAGTAGCAATTATTGAACTCGCCGCGAAAAACTGTACATCTGCACGGCTATTTAATCCTTTCCCCCAACGATTTTTCATGTTTTTGTCGATCAGAGAGAGAGAGAGAGACAGAGAGAGAGAGTCGAATCCGAAGAGCTAAATCAAAAGGGATCGTACTCTGATCGTATTTCAATTTATTATTCGTATCGAAATAGGATTGTTTGCGTTTCGTTTTATTCGCGAGTTCTCGAGAATAAGAAACGCGGGGAATCGCGGAATATTTTATTTTTAGAAATGAAGAATATAGCGAACAACAGTCGCGTTCACGGTGAAATTACAGTTTCAATATTCCATCCATGGAAGATGAATTATCACGTCGCTGTTAAATCGAATCGTGCGTTGGATCGCGTAAGATTTTTGTAAAAAAAAAAAAAAAAAAAAAAAAGAAAAGAAAAAAATATGTTTAATCGACGCTAACGTATCGATTAAACACAAAAAGAGAGAGAGAGAGAGAAACGTGCGCGAAAACTTTCCAAGATCTGGAATTCTTGGCCAAGTTGAGGAAAAAAATAAAATATATATATATATAATACCGATATCGAGGCAATAATTGAGCGAAGGTCGAAAAGATGTAGATTTAAGTAGATGAATCTTCTTTTGGAGCGGGAGATTAATAGGACAATGGTAGCTAGATTCTAAAGATAACAAATTGCTGGAAGTGAATATCAAACGAAGCCACTTAACAAACCACTTACGTCAAACGGCAAAAATTCTAAGAATAGATAATGTTGACACATTATGCTACCATATATCATGGTATAACGTGTATTACGTAACAATCGCTTCGAGTAAATAAACAAATGAAACAAGCGTGAAACATAAATAAACACGAAATAATGATCGAAGAAAGAAAGGAAGAAAAAGAAAAAATAAAATAAAATAATTGAACAAAAACGAGGGAAATAATTTTTTCTAATATTTACCAATTTCGAGTATCACCATTACACATTGCACGGACAGATATTAATTTAATTGTTTTAATTGTTCGGTTGCCTCTTAAAAAGACCATTTTCATAGCAGAAAGGACAAACAAAGTCCATTGTTACGTCGTGCTGCTCATAATTCAGCAAGACATTTTTAATCCTCTCCGTGAAAATTATCATCCTTATTCCCTCTTTTGTTTCCCTCCTCCGTGGATCCGGTCCGACTCTATTCTCCGACTTTTCATTAGCATTTAAAAAACAAAACTGTTTTGTTCTTTAAAAATTCATCGTCGACAAATTTATAATAACTAGATAATTCGTCCGTCCGCGAAAACTCGACTCCCACTTTGGAAAATATTCGAATAATAACATCTCCCGTGTTCTTTAACGTCAAACGTTATTACCTTTTAAATCGACGATAAAAAGAAAAAGAAAAACACGAATAAACGGAAAATCGAATCGAATCATCGATAGATCCGCGGAAGAATTAGTCGAGATCCATCGTGAATTAAAAGAGCGGTGGACGAGTGCCACCACGGATGTCCCATGGGTTCACGACCCCATGCCGGCATATTAGAGCGCTGAATTAGTTAATGCCAGTCACATGGCCGAGCAACGAAATTACCTTCTCGTGATGATGCGTCAACACTGCATACGACACAATCGCATTTTCGACAAGATCGTCCGTCCAATCGTTTCTTCCTGTTCAACCCTTCCTCCTCCGGCCTTTCTTCCTCGAATTCTCCCTTCCTTCCTTCCTTCCTTCCTTCCTTCCTTCTTTCCTCTTCCTGCGGGATAAATTTTCCCACCGGACAGATTTCAACTTCGCGGAGGAAGGAGAAAGATCGAGCAATTGTGTAACAATTCTGCGCGTTGTAAATAAGGTCTAGGACGAGGTGGTGCGGTGTAACCTGATCGAATCGTACGATAGACGCAAGATAAAGACTTGATCCAACCGAGATAACGTCTAATTAAATATTTCTAGGACAATGAGAGAGATTAACCGGCTCGTAAAAATATATTCGCGTATCTTGAAAATAATAGGCGCAATGTGAATCATCACCAGTACCAGATTTATTATACTCTTCTTATCGCGTTATTTTCTCTCCTGTGTCACTCCGTGTTCACAATCGTGAACCGTGTTTTTTCCCCGCTCCTATATTCCTATATGCTGGGGGGAGGGAGGGGAAAAAAACCCTTCGCGCGTGTTATCGTTAGAAAATAAGAGAGAGAGAGAGAGAGAGAAAAGTAAGATAGCCGGAGCACGCTTTTGCGACCTGCTCGATAACGTGGCAATAAACAAAGCGTTTCGATAACTTTTGAACCCTTAGCGACGCTCATCTGTCGCGATGTACTCCGCGAAAACACTCTTTCGTTCTCTTTTCGTTTATTTTTCTATTCCCGTATATCGATTGCAAAATAATAATGGCGTATCCTCGAGCGATATCCCCGTTTATCCGTTGATCTTTCCTTTTTTTCTTTTTTTTTTTCTTTTTGGCGCCATCATTTCGCCAATGATCCGCGATACGTGTAGGGAAATTAAATAGAGAGTTGCAGTTTATATTATACGCGGAATGATGAAATTTCTATTCGACATTTCTATGCAAAAGGCGAACGCGGTGCGCCATAAACGAACGATAGACGGGATGGAATACAAAATCGACGATTATCTCTCAGTCGAGGTCCGTTTTAATCTATTTTCTAGTGTCTATCCTATCAAGGATTACTATTATTATTTGATCGGAGATCAAATCTTTTACCTTTTCTTTTTTTTTTTTTTCTTTTTATACTACGATGAAAAAGCATACGCGCGAAGAGAAGCGATCCGATCATCGGAAGAATGGCTCTGTTTTCATCCGCGTTATTACCAGAAGAATTTTTTTTTTTTTTCCTAGAATTTATCTTGAAGGAATCAATTACGTTCGTGCGTTCCCCTTTTCCGAATAAAAAACAGCAACGATAACGAAGGAATCGAGGCAGACTTTAAGTCTGCGAGTCTTCCCCGATAACCCTGTTTACCGCGCTCTCAGGCAGAAAGAATCGACCATTTCTGATATTACCAACTTTTATTTACTTTCGATGGAAATAATTACTGCGTAGAAAAATTACTGTTGATCGAGCTTCGCTTCGAGACGGAAAAAAGGAGAGAGCAAGAGAGAGAGAGAGAGAGAGAGAGAGAGAGAGAGAGAGAGAGAGAGAGAGAGA